CCTTAGACTGTGCCGTGTTGGTCGTACAAAGACAACCAGTGTCCTCAGAAGAGAGTGGCAGAATGCCATTCAAACGCCCGTTTCAACGTCCCTTCTGAACAAGAGATAATTGCAAGCCGGTTAATTTGCACGAAGATCAGTACAAAAACACTGTTAACGGCAAGTGATATACAGCGACGTCTGCAATGGGCATGGGACCACGTGCGTTTGCTTTTCTTCAAACCCAAGGGGTTCAGCAACATTCCTGGCCTGCAGACTCCTCAGATATGAACCCAATTGAAAATCTGTGGACGAAAGTCACTCGCAGAATTAATAGCTATGATCATCAGCTGGTAAATCGTGATTAACTACTATTATCGAATGATATCCCCATCCAAACTCTGGGAAACCTGTCAGAGGATATGCCATCCGGGGTGAGGGCGCTGCAGGCAGCTACTGGAGGTCATAAACGCTATTGAATCCTTTCCAGATTTACTGTTACGGGCTCTTTGACTGTACATGTGTAGCATATCACTGACCGGAGGCTATCATTTCTCTAATATCTTTACTTGATGTTAATACTGACAACAAACTGTTGATATGGTTTTCTGGAGGTGTTCTTTTCTTTTGGATGACATCTTATGTCAGCTTTGATATTGTTAACCAAAATATCTCACAACAGAAAACTGAATATTTTTATCATTCAATTGCATACTTTTTTATCAATAAAGGCAAAAAGTTTCAATCTGCACTCAAAAGGAACAATGATGAGAAGATATTCCATATTAAGTATTAAATCTATACTCTTGGATGTCACAGGATTTAGTGTTCAGGTGGAAAAATATGCCCATGTCGTCATGTAATACCATTTTCTCAGCTGGGACGCCAGATTGAGTTATTATTATTATTATTATTATTATTATTATTATTATTATTATTTATTTATTTATTTATTTGCTACTAGCATAAATATATTTTTGTAATCAAAATCTTCTGAATGAATAATACATAGCGAGCTTAACTTTGCCTGACACATGTAACTTTTGTATTTAACTTTGTCGCTAACCGTTAAGATATGAATACGTAGTTAAGATTAATTTTTATCAACAAGCAATTCTTCAATTACACAAGTCATTCGCAATGGATATATTCTTGGAAGTTGAACACAGTTCACTCATGGATATACAGGAAAATTTGAACAGTTATTCATCTGTGCACCAACGTACGTGGATAAGACATTTTATCATTCCACTATGGCAAGTGACAGTCATATTCATTCATTCGTTAGCAATGTTGTGGTGAATGTTGTTTATTGGACAGTGAGTGGCAGACCCTTAGGTCTCACGTAGTGCATTCCTACTATATTTAAAATGACAAAGAAAAGTGTTAAACTGTAAAGGAAAAAATGCGTCGGTGCCATAACAAGAGAGTCACAAATTTGCATAACGGGGAGAAAAAAGAAAGAAAAATCAACAACAAAAAGTATGTGTACTCTTGGGCCACGTATTTAAGCATAAACAGAACAACAGTTAAGGAATTCATCCACGAAGATCTAAACTTCCCAAAGTTAAAATTCCAAAAATTAGAATTCTATCTTCGTTTCAGGCGCAGAAAAGACATTTTCCCATTCCGCTGTGGCAAGTGACAGTCGTATTCCTTCACTGAATGGAAAGGATCCTCTGACATTGTATGGAACCGAACTCTCATTTTATAATTGAAATGGAGGATACCATGAACTCTCACAAATAAAGTCCTTTTAACTTTTATGTTGGACTGAAATGTCAATTTTATAAGGAAAGATTAATCGATTATTGGTTGTACCGGGTAAATATATGACACTTTAAGTAGTATAATGCATATTTAATACGTAACAGAGGACAACCACGTGTCGGCTTTTTGTCAAAGTTTATATATATATATATATATATATATATATATATATATATATATATATATATATATATATATATATATGGGTGTGTCCAGTGTAACAATTTTGAGATTATCTGAAAGAATTATTGGGAATTGTGGTAGTCAACGTCCTGCAAGGACAGGATACTCAGAGAGAGAGAGAAAGAGAGAGAGAGAGAGAGAGTATATATACATACTCGGTTAGTATATCATTTATTTTGTCATCTTCTTTCATATATTATATATATTGTCAGTTATTAATGTTACTTGGATAATTATTATATAGCAGGATTATATGTTATCTTACGAAACAACGATGACATGAGACTAAAGATATAAACATTGAGGGAAATTTTCTTATTTTTATGACATTTCATGGTATAGTTTTATGAGATCGTGGTTTTTTTTTCAATATAAAAAGAATTGTTTTCCTAACGGTCATCCAAAAAGTTGCGCTACAGTGAAAACATTAATGAAGTTAAACAAATGTTTCACCACCAATGATGCACCATTCGTAATGATGTGATGAATGCTGTTTACTTGAAAGGGAGTGGCCGGCTTTATTGGCTAAAGTGTGCATTCCTATTATATTTACAATGACAAAGAAAAGTGTTAAACTGTAAAGGAAAAATGTGTCGATGCCATAATAAGAGAGTCACAGATTTGCATGACGGGGAGAAAAAAGAAAGAAAAATCAACAACAAAAAGTATCTGTACTCTTGGGCAACACATTAAAGCATAAACAAAACAACAGTTAATGAATTCATCCACAAATATCCAACTTCCCAAAAGTTAAAATTCCAAACATTAGAATTGTATCTTCCTTTAAGCCATATTTTTGTTTTCATGTTTCTTTGTGTTCTTTTTAAGTTTTAGTCTATTGTAGTATCAAATCATTTTACTTAGCTATGCTTTGCTTAAAGCTAAAAATTAAGTGTTAAAGAAAGGTTATCTATAAGTATATTTCAATTTAAAATATATCTAGGGACAGGTGTATCATCCCCGGGAGAAAATGTAATGTTGGTAATTGATGTTCATGAAATGAGTAAAGAGCTGGTAGAGTTTAGGTAGATTTATTGTTGTGTTTTCATAATGTGTGATGCACAAATAGCAGCATGTAACATTAGTACGGAGAGAGAACGCCGCGAGAGATTGAGAGAAGTGGAAAGAGAAATAGGGAAAAGGGAACTAAAAAGCTGTAAATAAAGATTGTGCAAGAACAGTGAGGGTTTTGTGTTTTTTTACTTCGTGTATCAATTAATTTCATATAAGTCAATACCATCGTCACACTTGTAATAATGTCATTAATCTACTAATTAACAAACTTCAAATACATGTACTTTAGATGTAGCGAGACGGCTCGCCTTGATTATTGAATGGTCACCTTGTAGATAATAAAAGTAATAATACAATGTTGGCTCCACTTCAACTTATTTCATTAAACATCCGGTTATTGTCCATCATGCTTCTCTTACTTGGACCTACACTGATGCTCATAAGTTAAGCAACACTTTCTTATTTCTCGAATTTCTCAGCAACCAAAATTTTTATTGAGGCAAAATTTGTACAATAGCTAGATATTTATCTTGTTTTTACTTTGACTTACTGGACCGTGACATTAGAGTACTATTTACTGTTGGACACGATAGAATATGCAATGGGGGTGCCATTTGCAAAAAACACAGTTTGACCATGCCATGAGGAGCTTCCAGTTTGGCTAGTTTCATGGGCACAATTTGTTATTTTGGACCAACCAATGGTTAGAAGAGGACTCAACGAGGTAATCAGATGGCAAATAATAGGAAGCCATCGTGCTGGGGTGCCAAAGAGACAGATTGCAGGCAACAAAAAAGCAGCACCAAGCCAAGTGTCCAAGCTGGTAGCAAAATTGCGCCAAACTCATCATGTATTGGACAAGCCTCTTTCTGGTAGACCAATATTAACCGACGCAAGAGATGAAGATATCTGGTTCGATTATGCCACCAGGACCAGTTCATTTCAGCCAAACAATGAAAAATTGCCACCGTACGTCATTCAAGGGAGGTGCCCTGGTCAACAATACAGAGACGAAATACCATTGGGGTGCATACAATCACACATTCAAGCAAATCCAGAAAGAAAAATCATTTTGGTGCAGGACAGTGCGCCCATCCAGAAAACATGGTCCGTGCAAGACGCGCTGCAACAGCGCGGTATCCCACATTTGGATTGGCTTGCATATTTACCAATTCTCAATGTAATCAAGCATGTTTAGCATATGATTGACAGGGCAATAAATGAGAGACAACCTCCAGTTGGAAACATTAGAGAGGTCCAACAGGCAGTAAATAAAGAATGGGACCGGCTCTCAAAGCAAGATTGGGTGAATTTGGTAGCAAGTTGCAGGAGACAATGTGTAGCTGTTGTTCAAAACCAGGGAAAGCACACCCGATATTTATTGCATAATAGACGATTAATCATCTATTACCTACAGTCTTCTTTTATTAAAACTAATTCTTAGATGATCGAACTTTATTTTTTCATAATAAGCTGTTTTAATCAGCACGTACTTTTTGCTGTGTGAGCATACTTTTTTGACACATGGTTTGGCATATTTTAGTACCGTTTGGTTAATAAAGTCATTTTGATTATTACAATAAGCTGTGTGGTGTATTTCTTTAACCGAAATATTCAACTTGAATAAGTCATTTATAAAATATGAAAGAAATATGCATAATCCCACCAACAAATGAAATAATGATCATGATAGAAGAAACTTTTGAAAAAATCGGGGTGTTGCTTAACTTATGAGCATCAGTGTATGTGCTTTGAACCATTGTTGATTCATTAACTAGCGTGGCTTTAAAGAGTACCACGTGTGCAATTAATTAGGCAGCAAAGCTGACAAACGTACAAAGCTGACAGACGTAGTACAAGAGAAAATAATGGTGCACAAAATGGGTAATTTTGACAATTTTGATGCAATATTTGTAATGCTTAACACCGAATTTTTATGACATGAGATAAATTGCACACCCGATTGTGAAACACACACACACACACACACACACACACACATGTAAAATAATAATATGAGTATATTTTTATTTATTTGTTTGAATAGCAATTCCGACTTTTTAAATATATCACTTTCGTGTATTCTGCTTTGATAGTTATACAGTCAGGTTTGACCTAGAAGATACAACGCAAGGTCACTTATGAAACAATTCATTCCCTTTAGAGGGCTACCTTATAATGTAATCTGTTCACCAAAAATGAAATAAATCCCGTCACTTGATGGAGATGGAGTTATAGTGTTATGTCCTCAAGCTTAAATTTGATGCTTTGGCCTTAATTTGACCTTAACAACCTTATTGATACCAAAGAAAAAATTATCAAATTCCCTCTAAAATTTTACTGTATTTCTAGGGAAATTGAAAGGAATTTGACTTTTTGTCCATTCCTTGTACATACATACATACATACATACATACATACATGTACATATTGGGGTAGTATAAATCTTATGGACAAAGGACACCGTTCAGCAATTACATAAATATAAACTCTAAATGTACATACTGGAATATTTACATAAAATGTAAATCATTAACAGTCATAACTTCTCGTAATTTCTCGGCAAGGGTAACTAGTATAGTCATTATCAGCATGAGCTGATCTTCTCAATACACGTAAACGTAATACACCTTTATGTACGGTAGGCCTATAACTCGTCGTGCTCTGTATACATGTACTGGGGTAACTGTACGTGTAATACGGTAGTACATGGGCTCACGTAGTGCTGTGTTAGTTGAGATTGCTTTATAATGCTACCGCTAGATGTCTCTATTAGTAAAGTACAGGCCGGTGTGAAAGTTTGCATCTCATCCTGTAATGTTATACACCTTTATGTACGGCATAACTCGTCGTGCCCTGAATACATGTACTGGAGTAACTGTACGTGTAGCACATGGTGTGACGTTGTACTGTGGTAGTTGGGATTGCTTTATAATGCTACCGGTAGATGTCTCTAGTCTATTAATAAAGTACAGACCGGTGTGCAAGTTCGTACTCGATTTCTTCTGATTGGTAACTTATAGGTAAAAGTATTCGTTGTATAATTTATTCTGATTGGCGAACGTGTACATTGCTGAACTGCATATAAGGTGTTACTCAAAATAAATCGCTTTCTACCTATGCTGTTAGTGGCTTTGAGAGCTTGCCAGTTAGTTTTGGTGTTGTTCTTGGTACATTTATAAGGTACTTGGCCACGGCAGCTTCACAATGCACAGTTCTGTTCTGTCTCACCGCTAGGTGTACATTTCGGCAGGCCTATAAGCAAGACATTAAATGATTAGCAACGGAGCGCCAGTCAATGCGTACCGGCTAGTGTGCCAAGCCAAGGATGAAAAAGGCGTGGGTCATGTCCGGTGAACGGAGACTGGTGTGAAAGGAATGTTAGTCCGCTAGGAACCGTAGTCCGCTGCCCATTACTTTGTACAGGTGACCTTCGTGCCAATACACTAACCCCGACTAGTCCTAAATTGTAGAATCATATGGATCCTCGACATTCCTTCCCAGTATTATCATTCCTGTCACTCCTGTGTTTATTTGCCATCAAAAAGCGGTTCTCAAATATTGGAATCCTGTTTCAAGGAAAACATGCTGTTGATGTCGAGGCTACAACATTTCCGTTTACAGCGGCTAACTGCAACATTTTCTTTTCCGAGGCTGAGTGACGCCAACTTCCACACCATATTCCATCCCTGCAAGTTGTTGCCTCCTCTGGTGTTCTAAAATTCCTGGAATATGAAAATTACAGATCTGCATTTGTTTTATAATTCACCTATGTGAAATATTTCCGAGTTTGGCAAATGAGCATGTGATAGATTTGCAGTACAGCATAAAATTAGTGATTTTTAGGAGAAAAATAAAACAAAAAAGACCACCAAATGTGACAGACAATAATAATAATAATAATAATAATAATAATAATAATAATAATAATAAGTTATTTTCCCCTTGGATATATATATTATAACATGTCTATCTTGCAAATTTCATCAAAATTTCTTTTAAGAATATCATGTTCACTAACAAACCAACGCCGAAAACACATCACCTTGGATCCTTTGTTACCAGATAAACAACATATCTTCTTTTCTTGGTAGAGGTAATTATTGTGAACGTATAATTATCTTCTCTACTGCATTCCTACCTATTTACCCAGCTGAAATACCTACCGTCAGTAACGATGCGAAACATCTCCTCAACCTGAAACTGAGTCTTGGCGGAGACTTCCATAAACATGGCATTGTGCTTTTCTGGAACAAAACAATTGTATTGAATACGGGACCGACTGTTTTTAATTATTTATTTATTTACTCATGTATTTATTGATTTATTTTTGATTTATCTTTGGCAACTTCGACATTCATGGTCAGAATTCCACGACATGCCCCGCGAGGTCATTTCACATACATTAAAGACAGCCAAGGCGCGTTAGACAACGATATAGTATATATGGAGAGCTTTGAAGTAAAGTTTTTATCGCATTTCGGTTACATGATATTGTATATAATTATTTATACTTATTTCCGTTGAAATTGGGCTGTTAAAACCTCAAACAAATAAAAAGCAGTACTCATCCGGTCTTTCTAATAAACGATCTCAATCGACCACAAACGTCCAAAAGCATAAAATGGATGGGGAATCAGGTAGTATATATTTCTGTGAAACACACCTAACCAATATCGTAAAGTCGACATTTCGTTGCCTGTTATTTATATTTATTTATACCTAGATGACGTCATAGCAATTTTTATGAAATCTTACCTGCTAGTCTATGTAAAGCATCTACCGAAATTTTTCTTGTAAGGCTGTCATCGACGGAATGTTCATAAAACGCATCTGATCGCGTCAACTCTAAATCTGAAAAAAAAAAGGATCGACTTCACATTTATCATTTCAGCCCCAGTTTCAGTCTACTTTGATATCAAATGTTGGAAGGTAAGTACAGTGATTGGACCGGCTTTCTTATTTCGATGGACTTGGTAATGCATTTGTGGCTGTGCTACTGGTAATTGTTTCACTTGAAGCCCAAGAAATATTTCAAAATGTTATCCAAAGTTTAAAAGACATTTTAAAACTCCATTATATTATTAACCACTGCATTAGTCTTACTTAAATCCTTTTTTCTTAAAAGTGTTGTTCAGCCAATGAACAACAAGAACAGTTAAACATTTCGTTATCATAATCTTTACCAAATAATCTGGCCTTTTCTCTCCCAAGGTAAATTATTGAAGGTACCTTAACAGGGGCGGATCAAGGATTATTTGAAGGGGTGGGGTCGGATTTTAGGAATGACCGGGCCGAAAAATGCTTCAGGTTTTTTTAGAAATCGAAGAGGGTGGGGGGTCCGGACCCCCTTGACACCCCCTAAATCCGCCACTGCCTTATCACAAAAGCACTCACAAAATGTTGAGAAAATATAGGACCTACCTGAAGTTGCGCGTGCCAATCCCTGTGCTTCACGCCTCTGACACTGACGATCCAAATCGAGCTTATTTCCGACGATCGCAATCGGCGCGTCGACTTTCAGGTTCTGAAATTGTCGGATCCATTCTGGAACATGGTCGAAGCTCATCTTGTCTGTGATATCATACAGAAAGATGGCCGCACTGCACTTTTTGTATGCACTAAAAATAGTATAATAGACTTATAATTATCAATATATGTAAGAACATACGTGTATTTATCTATGAAGCTTTGAGGTATATAACACTCTTTCATTATGTCCTTTTTTTCTTTTTTTTATTTAGCTTTTCTTCATTTTGTCAAGCACTTACTATAGTCACTGCATGTAAGATTTTGTATGTTCAGTACATTTCAATAAACCTTTGTATTACTTCTTCAGTTATTTATACTGTATTATTGATTCTTACATGTATTTGTGGATCTACTAGTATGTATGTTTTGTTATATCCCATTTATAAATAGTTTATCATTCTTGGACATAACTATTCATGCATGGTTAGCCTTAAGGTTTAAATATTTGATAAAAGCATTGTATTTTTATTTATTTTTTAATTTTAGAAGTACAAAATAAAAGTGCATGCAGAAATGGGTTAACAACGCATGCGCATCGTTGTCAGTGGAAAGGTAAATTGCAAATCATGCGGTTAGTAATGTCCTGTGTATCACCTGGGTTAAGCAGATAAGGTGTTTCTCCTGCGTAATTACAAGGCCTATCACCCGGGTTAATTATTGAACAGATAAGGTGTTACTTCGCTTAACTTATTGCCTTATTGCCATAACTTTCATTCATTTCATAATACCGTTATACGTACATGCAATGTCACATTGCTCTACATGTATGGACGTAAACCATATACGTATATCTGTAACAGTGTGATCGAGCCATATACATGTACATGCATGTAACTTTATCACCCTTTGACCCCCCCACCCCCTCCCCCCCCAACTACACACACACACACACACACACACACACACACACACACATCATCATCATCATCATCATCATCATCATAACACCGGGCATGAAAGTGAATGAGATTATTTACAAATTATTACTTACACGGTGTTCAGTGCCTGGTATCTTTCTGTTCCGACAGTATCCCAGACCTTCAACTGGACCCTCTTCCCGGAAGTAAATTTGACGGGGATATGGACAATGTCCAAGTTGGTGGTCGAGCGTGGTGGAGATCGGGCTTGAGTCCTTGGATGAAAATTATTAACTAGTTACTGTTCATGTTAGAATAATTTTGAAAATTTAAAGTCAAACCCAAATCACGTCTAAAATCATGGTTGATAAAATAATCGAAATAATCCTATAAACGAAATAATCAATATCTGAAGAAATATTTATACTGAATGTTTTAACACCCTTGAACGTACTTTGGCTGCTTGTGGATACTGAAATCAGACATCAACATTAGACTTCAACTAATTCAAATCTACCAAAACGTGAAATATTCCAAATATTTAGTAAATAAAATAATTCAAATTTAGGTATTTGAATTTTTATCAAAAAACAAGAAAAAATGGCTGCCATCTTGGATTTAGTCGCCATATTGAAAAATATTAAATACCTGAAAAATTGAAGAATGTCTAAGTATTTGTGACCGGTGCAAATTTTGATAAAATTTAATTGTAAAGGAACTTAAAAATCAGTTTTTGTATTTACATATGACAAATGAATATATTGGCGGCCATCTTGGATTTTGCGGGTTTCCGGTACAAACGGACACTTTTCAAGCCGGAAACAAACAGAAATGAAAAATTCAGGTACAAAACTACAAGAATCAATTGCCTGGAACCTTTGCCTAACCCCCCAGCCAAATCCTTAAATACATGTAAGACCCTTTTTTCATTTTGGCTCATGGACTAATTATTGTTATTCTTATCATCAATTACTTTCTTAATTATTCGATTAATTTACTTATCTTTGTAAGCAAGCTACACTTTAGAGTATTTTCTTGGCTACGTAAATATATATATAGCTGTATAAAAATCTACATTATACTGACAACATATCGTCTATGTTCACACACATGCACCCACGCACGCACGCATGCACACACACACACAGTCACTCACCAGGGGCGGATCCAGGATTATTTGAAGGGGGTCCGCGGATGCCAAGTGGACCCTACCCCCCTCTCGGCGTGGGGTTCAGGGCCTGCTTAAATTTTGGTATTTTAGAGGGCGAAAGTTGCCATTTGGCACGGTTTAAAACTATGATTCAGCTAGTCAAAATTTTTATTTCAAGAGAGGACCATTGATGTGATTTTTTGCCACTGCTCATGTGCGCTCACACACGAGGCTTTGAGGCTAAACAAACCACTGGGATAGACTTACGTCTGCTGTCTCTCTCTCTCTCTCTCTCTCTCTCTCTCTCTCCACATGCACGCACGCACTCTCACACACGTACACAGTGATTTTCAGCTAATCAGTCCATTGGAACATAAATAGTTTTCTGTCTCAGTGTCCACAAATATGGTCCTAAAGTCACGATCATCTCTCGCATGCGTTCTTTATCAGACATTTCGCCACATCACATCATTCGATATCTTGATATCTTATCACATATGTGATTAATTGAATAATCGTTTGTCATAGTGGTCTAGCTATTGGAGACTGCTACCCAGTATATGAAAAATTAGGCCCATTGGCACATCGAGAGGTGTGCTTTAATGGACCGGCGTGACAGCTGGGGATGGTAGTACGCTAGAAAGCGTAGTACGTTCCCAACTACTTTGTACAGGTGGCACACGTCCCATATACTAAACCCAAATCTCTAACGACTAACCCTAACCCGTACTTATCATATGGGACCCCGGACTTCCATTTCTAGGACTACCATTCTTGTCACACCTGTCCGCTTTGAGAGGCTGACGATCTTGCTACTACGTAACTTAGAGCGCGTTCAGAACAGATGATCCGCGAACTGATCATCGGACTTAATATGGCTGACCCACTTAAAGCAAGCTGCTTAGTTCCCTGATGGTCTCCCCGCCTCCACAGGCGTCATTAAACGGATTAAATCTTGGGGCCGAAGTTTACTTGCTAGGCCCCTAGCCTGCAGCAACTGGATCATAATGGTAACGACAACGCTTTAAGTTAGTCGGCCATATTTAGTCCACGGATCAACTTGTTCTGAATGCGCTCTTAGTTAGTCACCGAAAAGGAACCCTCGCGCTCAGTCATCACGCCCAATTAAATTCCTTGCCTAAGACCAGCGTATTTTTGGAGATAATGTGAAAGAGAGTGAGAACGAACCCCATGTTGCGAAATTGCGTGTTAGGGCCTTTCAAAATGGAACGGCCGGGTAAAATATATCGATGGATGTGAAAAAGGCTTCAGATAGGCCTATTCCATCGAAAGCTATTGCAGAAGAATCACTTTCCCACAAATCGACTCGAAGGACTTTTTCTTCGCGCGGTTTAAGCTTTCCTTAAGGAGGGTTGTTTTCCCGGCATTAGAATCGCCGATGAGCGCGACTGCAAATTGAATGAAAGGAGGAAACCTTTTTATTGCAAGTTCTTGATATCTTTCCTAAATGCTGACCAAAACACTATTAAATAATCACTAAGGAGATTTTATATAATAGTCTGGCATGAATACCGACGCCGGGAATCGATCTCGGACCAGCTAGGTGTGAGCCTTTACACCACGGCGGATTATATGTTTTACAGCCGGAGTTGCTTGAATCTATCCATACTAAAGCTGCATTCACAACAGCGGACTTATTAGTCCGTAGATCAAATATGGCGACCCACTTAAAAGTCTAATTCCCTAATAAACAATGAATAGATTCCCCGACTACACAAACATTTAAGTGGATCGGCCATATTTGATCCACGGACTAGTTAGCCTGCTGTTAGAAAAGCTTCTTTATACGTTTTCAAACAGCAGAAAGCTTTAAAATTAAACATATGTGAAGTATATGTGCAGTTTAGTATCTGATAGATGCAATGTATATTTTCTTTAAGGCACTTTGAAGTACCAATACATCCGATAAGAAAGAGTCACTCTACCGTTAAGTTCCGCATGATGGAACGCTTCGGTACTCGCCAGACTGTCGCAAGGGCTATGACTATGTTGTCTGTCTGCGTCCAAATGTTGACCTATGTATTCTTGTCCTTTCCTGAGGCCTTCCCGGAACCAGGCATACGCTTCTGCATCTTTCTTCATTAACCTCTCCAAAAACGCCCTATTTTGATCCCTGGACGCGGACGCTGCTTTTGATCGAATCTGTTCAAGCTCATCTAATTCAAACACGTCTTTTTCGAAGAGATAGTCCAGAAGGAAGGAAAGATCCAAGTCTTCGATCAGAAAGGTGAAATTGCGTTTGATTCGCGCAACGTGGTCCTTTTGACGAGGCATCTTTGATTGCAGTTACCCTGTAGATAAAATTCATATCTAAAACTGGAAAACACTTGAAGAGTCCAGAGCTCAAAATCTACTGTTTATCTTAAGAGTTGTATTAGATAAAGAAAGTCTGTCGGGGGCAATCAGTAACATACCGACCGCTGTTTTTATCAGACATAATATGTAACTTGATTCAGGATAACATTCGATTTGAAGTGACGTGTCACAAGATCTATCAAAATTTCCAAGTACATGTAATATGTAGTTTTGGGGTAACATTTGATTTGAATTGGCATGTCACAAGAGCGATATAAATTTCCAATCGGGTATGGAGTTTATGCTTGCCTCATCGTGTTTATAAGCAAATTTACTTGGTATAAAAATTGTCATAGTGCACATATGTGTTGATATGAATAAATGAACGAATCAAAAAGATACGTTATTTGGGGAAAAATTAGCGAACGAAGGAACGAACGAATAAAAATAAGAACAAATAAATAAATAAGTAAATGAATATATTGACGGTTCAGATTGACTTGGTATACTTGTTAAGCATATGACTAAACTGGATAACCTATTTCAACATATTGTATCCTTTTAATAAAAAATTTAAATTGTGAATGGGTGAAACCTATTTAAACGACTTGATGAATTACATGTTAAAAACCTTACAACCGCACTCTGATACTATTGCTATCGCCCAGCTATACACTGTAGGTCAATAATAACAGACATCATAAATGAGGTAATGAACTGAATGACTTGCCTGTGTCAAAATTGGAAATAAAACCTTGTT